TTTGTTGGTTCTCTCTTATATACTATGTTCTTTTCTCGTTGCTTCTACAAGTTTCCAAAAACCAGAGGATTTTAAATCTTGCAGAGAAAGAATGAAAATTTAAAAACAGCCACATCAGGAGATCAAGGAGCGGAGTCATAAAACGCATGTGTAGTTAGAAGACTGAACCGTGGCTTTTCTAACATCCTGTGGTTTAAGGGTCTAAACCACAACTCAAGTCATTACATAATACGTTGTACAGCTTAGAGGAGGGGAATCCCCTGAAATGCTGCCTCATGTCTGCAGAGTTTCATTAGGACTTCAAGTCCAATTGTGTAGATCAATGTAGTGGAAAAAGCTGTGTGATCTTTGACCGGTGTCAGCACCACAGGGGTCCAATGATGATAACCACCACAGTCCATGGAAAATGTTGCAGAGCGGCTGGAGTCAGGGTCTCAGGTCTGAGATGAAGTCATGACAAAGTGCAGCGCCAGTTTGTGCTGTGGTTCCAGTAGAAATATCAAATTCTATTTAGCTGGAATGTTGAAGTTCAGCATCACATGTTTATGTTGCCCACAGTCACGGGTGACGCACCAAAGGAGAGAATCTGCCTGGAATATCAGGTCACAGAGCCACCATGAAAATGTCCCCCTCGACCATGCCGACCTTGCTGGATCGTTGACACCAACATAAAAGAACCCGTGGTTTCTGACAAACCAATGACCAAGCATTGCTCACATATTCTAGTCTGTCTAGATCAAACTTATCACTCTCCTTGGAGAGAGAAAATAATTTCACATGCATCTTCCTAAAATTTCACAAACCTGCCTGTCTGTGTGTGGAACACATTTCTCCAGAGGCGTTTGTCTTATCATCTTCACACCTGGCATGTGACTTGTTGGTGGCTCAGGGAAGTGCAGTTCCAAATAAACGACATAAACTGCAGCAGTGGTCTGTAACTGGGACAACCTCTGAGTCAAAATCGCCTCAGATATTTGTTTAATTTTTAATTTTTATTTCACCATAACGACACTGACACTGACATTCACAGGTGTGGGGGCTGATCTACGTCATGGCAAAAACATTAATAGAATCACTTCCTCTTCAATTTCCATTTTGTTGTTGGAATACTTTATACTGAGCTGAATTACGGAGCTTTTATTTTGATAATTTGTGAACTTGGGAAATAGCTGACATGCATTCTATAAATAATAATTAAGTAATTAAGTAAATTATTCTTACTTATCTAAAAGATTTTATGAAAAACATTGAGCATATAAATTGTCATTGCAGATAAACCAGGTAGAAAGAACACAAAATGTTCTAACTTCATTCTCCTCCATAGATATCAAAATCCCTGCACACAACAGCCAGCACACAAACAATAAAAAGTGACAGAATATTCTAGAACTGTCTGAGGATGACTCACTAATGACGAGGAATAATCGAGAGAGATATTTGAGTCTGTTCAGGTTTGTCTGGCTTTAGTAATATCGTAGAGCAAGCACAGATTTAGGTATATAGGATAAAGGTTAATTGAGACAAGACAAACTGAATCTAGGTCTCCAAAGTTTCCCCTTCAATTATGTTTTTAAATATTTATGATGTTTGAAGAGGAACAAGTGACACAGCACTTTGCAGAAATTGCCATCACTGGTATGACTGAACAGATTCTTCCCTTTTCAATTGATGACATTTTAACTGAGCGATATAGTGTCAAAAACTATATCAACATATCAGTCGTTATCATGATTAATGTCATTATTATTTAATTTAAGATTATGGCTCCGTAGTGAAGGTTGTGGTTTTAAACTCTTCTTTATGAGCAGAGAATGAAAAACTGCAAAACATTTTACATATCTGAAATAGATTAATTGTGTTGTTACCTCCTCACGACACAATGCATAAGTTTGTACAATGCCTAAACAGTATATTGATATTTATTGATCTTAACAGAGTACCTTTGACAGGTGACCTCACCTTATAATCGTCAATAAACGTCTCTAGAATTCTTCATTTTCAACACATAAATCACCTTGTTACTATGTATGACTAGGTATGTATATATGTATATGTATATGTAAAGTGTATTACTGTCAGATTATTATGAATTAGGATCTTACCTAAAGCTGTCACTCCGTATCCAGGTGGACAGGTACTGTGTTGGATGCAGAACTCCACCACAAGGTGGAATCCTGGGGCACACTCACACAGTTGGTCATGGGTGCTGTTGCAGTGCTGCCTCACGAGTTGCCGCTCCTTGCACACCTGAACACAACAGACACACAAGGTCACACACTGCAGACAAACTCACACGGACAGCTACATAAATAAAGACAATATGATTCATATATACGTATAAGTACAGTAATGAAATATGAAATACTGGTGGGAATTATGATATTGCTTCACAAGAAAATCAAATAGCCAGAGCCTGAGCAGGAATATAAAAACAAGCTTGAGCAGTTCAAAACAATATGGAGAATAGAGCCGACCAGTGGACATGTTGCATAATTCATCCAGTGACAAAAAGGAAGTCATCTGTTCTCTGTGGCGAAATTGCATTGTGCACCACAATGAGCACATGCAGACGTTACTTTTAGAAACTGCAATTGAAGTGGAAACACTGGTTTCCAAAAAAATAACAGATGCACAATAACAAAATGTAAACAAACAGCATCTAAGGAAAAGGCACGAGAAAAACCACAGAGGAGTTCCTGACCATGATGTGCAGCAAGTTCATATTTGGTTGATTCACTTAAATGGGTGTAGATACACAAAAACAGTCAGTCACACTACTTACGCCGCAAAATGCAGTTTATGGGTCTGTTCAGAAGAAACCAGAGAGCTACTATTTTTGGCCTCGTACGTACCGAGGTGCAGTATTGACACGTATCCCCCCAGTGCCAGTTCTCAGCAAAGTGTCTCTCGGGACAGGGTTGGCACTCTGTGGGCATGTCAGTGGTGCAGTGTCGCTTCACGGCCGTGCCAGGAGGACACTGGTCACACAGGAGGAGTTCAGACGTCACAGGGTCGCGGTGCTGGTACTTAGGCACAACTTCCTGTTGCTGGAAGGCCCAGGAAAGAGAAGCTGTGAAGAGCTGAAGGAGAAAGAGAAGGGAAAAGCACAGCACCCAGTTAACAGCAGGCACAGAATCTCTAATGGAACCCATCTCATGCACAGCTCCAGTTTGGCTGAAGGCTCCAGTATTTTTATATTTTTGGAGGACTCGCCAACACAAAGCTTCAGAGCTGCAACGATGAAGTTCCTGTGCTGAAGTAATTTCCTGTGCTTTACAGTTCTGGGAGAAATTCAGCAGCAGTTTTGTGGATGCATAACTGCACAGGACCGACTTTATAATCTTTTTTTCCAGGAGGCAATATCAGCCATTTGCATGACCTCAAATCACAATGATTATTCTAATGTTGCAGCAATCGTCTTATTAAAGTAAAATAAAAAAGTGAATTACGCTGCCCTGTGTTCTCTGACCTCACCAGTGATCTACACATGTCAGCAGCTCTGGGAGATAGGCCGCTTTGTAGCTGGCGTGATTCAAGTACTAACTTCCCGGAGCAAGAACACACCACACCCATATATCTCCCTCCACCTAAAAGCAACCCATTCATATGGACGCACAGCTCTGACACGGACGTGTGTAGCCACTTCCTCAAAAACAAGCCTTTGTATCATCGGGAGCAGGAGCTGAAGCGCTTTGGGTGAATCTAAAATGTAGGATATCAGTTGGTGAACATGTTTGTCATGCAGCCATGCAGCTGGTCAGAGGACACATGCCGACCAGATGTCACACAACAGCTTCCTTCCATCCTGAAGGCCCTCTGTGGACTTCCCCATTGGACAGGACGAATCCTCACTGCTTAGACAAACTAACAATCGGGTGTCGTTGCATTGTGTGTGTGTGTGTGGTTTTCTACTTTCCAGAATGCTTGAGTGTGCATCTTCGAAAATGTAATGTATTCATACAACAAACAACTACAGAACATTCATGCATGACCCTGCAGGCCTGCACGTATGCAGAAGTGTGTGTGTGTGTGTGTACATCCATCTTCACGTCCAATTGCCGTCTTCCTCAGTGCCGCTCTGTGCACTCTGTGGTCTCTGGTCCTGGCTGCTGTTCATAACGAGAACTATTGGAGGTTACTGGGCTTTCCCCATTCACCACCAGAATACAAAACACTCACCCACTCCGCTCTACAGTTTACCCGCCGCTCTCTATTGATCTCCTTCCTGCCTATGTGTGTGTGTGTTTGTGCTCATCTCATTTCCCTGCAAGTACATAATGTACAACCACAAAACACTATCTACTACAGAGTGTGTACGAGTCAGTGGAATAAAGAAAGACTCAGTTTCCAGTGTTTGTGTGTGTACCTTCTACTTGATATTACAAAATATTTAGACATAGAAATCTTTTGATTAAAATTAGGTGCATATGTGTGTGTGTGTGTGCGTATGTGTGTGTGCGTGTGTGTGCTTCTTCCCCATTTGCCATATTTATCTGATCTGCTGTTAATGTGCGTAGCTGCATTTCTCATTCCAAAGATAATTTGATAAGCGAACAATAAATTCCTCTATTGAACATTGTTCCTTTATCAGCCTGAAATTGTGTAAAACACAAAAATGAGTCGGTTTACTTTGAATTGTTCTATTTCTGTTTCCTTTTTGCGACAGAGGTCATTGAAAAAAAAAAGACAGTAAAAATAGATGAATGGGTTTCACACACCATAACAGAAACCCAAACTTCAAACAGCTTCGCGAGCGCGGTGGTTTTCCCGGCAAAGCCTATCGACCTCCGAGCACAACATTCGGTGGCTTTCATCCACAGCGACTTGCTGCGCAGTTCCCTCGACTGCGTGTGTTTGTTTGTAGCATGGGTGGCCCCAGCGGGAATTAAACCCACAATCATAGCCTTGCTCTTCAAATTAAGAAGCGTATGTACACATTATTAAGCCGTGAGACCACATCCAATCAATTCAGAGACATCTGGAGGACAGAATGCACAGTGGATCGACCAGTTTTTATGGGGGGGTTTGACAAACCTGGGCTCAGTTACACTTGTTGCTTGAATCTATACTTTGAGTCAGGATGAGTTAGGAACTGGATCCTCCTCTGATTTTAAAGCCAAAGAGACTGAGCACAAGTGGAAGTGGTTGGGTCAGTATTGTTTTTCAAATCCTAGCACATAGTTTGGTGTCGCTGCAGCTACACTATACAGCGAAGCAATTCAGAGAAGGAGTAGGTCACAGTGATGAATGGTAAAAAATTATACATGTTCCCAAACTATTMMAAACACAATCAAGTGCCTGTAAGCATCTCATAAACAGTGCATATGGAGGTTTGACTTCTCCTGGTTCGATTCCGATGTGGCCCTTTGCTACACCCCAGAAATATTTTAAAAGATTGATAAACAAATAAATGGTTCCCTGGTTTGACACACCCTGACATGCTCTACTTTAATTGTGAATAAAATCGGAAAAGACAGATGAGTGAATAACAAGCAGAAAGTGCAACGCTGCTAAATGTAGCGTACTGCTAAGATAAAGAGAAAAATAGAGGTCATCACCGGTGAAGCATGTGAGCTCACACCCATACAGACCATGGTAGTCTGGCAACAATTAGCTTCTACATTCTGCACCGAGTTTTTAAGGAAGACGTTTCGTCTTGTGAGACATGATCTGTCTCTGATTAAGACAAAATTAGTGTTTGATAATCAGTCCACACTGGGTAGTCAAGTCCAGCGAGAGTTAAAATCTAAGAATGTGTCACAAAATCTGGGGAGATGTGTAGTTTATTTGTTATCTGGTCTCGTCACTGCCAGACCACCCTGCGCTGAAGCTTTCCGCTCCAGAAGACAAGAAGAACTGACAACTTTTGTGAAAACTGACTCATTGGGAAGACGTTTCTCTATCAGCAGCATAAAGAGATATTGAACTCTTCACCCTTCTCGTTGCCTCAGAAGATGCCATCTGACGACATTGTGGACGACCGCTGGAAATCCAAATTACACAGCAGATAGGGGCCACTGACAGACGTAATTACACCGTCAGCATCATCACAGCGACGCTCAGTGAGCAGCGCATCCTACATGGAGCACTGCCAGCTGAGAGGAGAGGACGGATTAAAAAGGTAATGATACAGTCTTACCTACCCTAAGCAACTATACTGGGAAGATGCACTTGAGCGAGGCACAGGAAGGATAGCGTGATGTGGAGCCGCTTGTTGGAAAAAGCACCCTCACTCACTTTTTAATAATGGTTCAGATTAAAACACTTCATATTTGCACCATTTTCATCTGATACTGTTTCTGGAACTGTTTCTGGAGACAACTTTGTGTTTTGCAGGGCAAAGATAGTTTTTCTTAACAGTCCTCCAACAAAGAACACGTGTGATTTCCCAGATGTTAAACCTCTGCGGGAAACAAACAACAGCATACGTGTGTTCCGGCCTGTGGCAGGGGCCAAGCTGCGTCCAGGACATGGACCACACTCGCCACAACAGGCAACGACACGCAAGACGCAGAGGGAGAGCCAGTCCAGTTTTTACTGTTTACAGTTTACTGTCAGTGACTGTCATCCACAGTGTTTGTGTGTCTATCTTTGAGCAGCAACACATGGTTTCAACTGCAGTAAATCCGAAACTGAAAGACTTTAAAAGACTGTTTGTCAGTTGTCAAAATATCTGCAGCGTTGTGTTAAGATGACGTAGTTTTCAGTGACACCGGCTCAACTGCCTTTGAGCGCTGCACAACACATGGGCTGCAGCAGCAGACACCTGACATATGAAACCATAAAAATGATGAACCATTTTTTCCGTTTGAGATTGTAAAAGTAGCATCTGCTGGATTCATTAAAGAATCTAAATATGGTAAGGCATTGGTTAGCACTGTTACCTCATAGCAAGAAGGTTCCTGGTATGAATTGAGTGCGCATGTTCTCCCTATGTCTGCGTGGGTTTCCTCCGGGTTCTCCAACAGGCCCATAAATGGTTTGTAGGCGTGAATTTGTGGGAATATGTTTGTCTCTGTTGTCCCTGCATTACGCTGGCAACCTTGTCCAGGTTGTGAATGGATGGATCGATGGATATGGGAGACTAATTTTGTTCACCTGAAGCTTTGCACTAAATCATAAGCCAGGCAGCTCGATAATGAGTAATATCAGTTTGCCAAGTACATTTTGCTTAGTTGTTATGTGATGCAAAAGGTATAAATAGAAAAATTAAGAGAAATAAAATAAAATACAGTAACTTAATGTAATTCGGTCAATCACAATTACATTTGAAATAGTAAACATCTTCTTCTTCCCTCATGCTGGTAGTGGAAATTCGGAAAAGAAATGCATCCAGAAGAAATTAGCCACAGTATTTAACTGACTTCCAGCAGATAGTTAAGGCTCAGGGTTACGGGGGACACAGAGCTCACTGAAATTCAAAGACGGAGGGGAATCAGAGTTTTGGCTTGCCTGAGGTCAGCTTTAACTTCATGGCATGAGGAGAAGAGCCGTGGCACAAAGGGACCAAACCACACGACACCAACTTATCCAGCAGCCACATGGCTTCAGTTAACTGTTGAGCGCAGGTGGTCTGAGGGGGGATTCCAACTCTTGGACGGCGTGTGCGTGCATGTTTAAGAGTGCGTGTGTGTGTGTGTGTGTGTGTGTGGCTCATGTGAAGCAATATTATCATTTTTTCACTCATACAGAGACAGAGAAACGTTAGGACATGGTACTCTGCTTTATCTTAAGACGTCTGTCGTAACACTGTTCTTATAAACTTCCGACTTCCAACGAAATACAACATTGACTATTTCAGTTTTGCAACCAGCATTATTTCACACACACTTATCAAGATGACTGTGCTGCTCAAAGTCTTAAAGATTTAACTTAATATTTGTCAACAGATTTAACTGGGAAATTATTGGAGGATTTTCACACTGCTTTTAAACCTGACTCCACATTGTCTGCCAGTATATGACCAACCAACATTTATCTGTTAACTGGCATTTGTTCATTTTTAAAAGCAGAAAGATTTCCACGAATAACTCAATTGCAGAATAAGAGACATACACATTTTCTGGAGTCACAAGGATAAGCAGTAGTGGAATATTAGTCAAGTAATGTATTTAAGTATACTTCACTTACTTATTATACTTCTACTCCTTCAGATGGAAATATTTTTACTACATTTCATTACATTTCACTATATATATTGATTGGACTGATATGTTGAAGATCCAAAAATATAAAACATGTAAAGATTACAAAATATGTTTAAGATTAAAGCAGCGGTTGCAGATGTTTTGAGCTTTTGACACTTAACAACAAATACGTGTCTTTATGGGCTTTTAATGATGACAAGGAGTGGTTAGCAATCTCCACCAACTTATTTAAACTTATGGATGGTTTCACTGAAATAACCTTTTAAATTCTGAAGATGGAGAAATGATCCAGTATTTAAGACATTTGGCAAAGATGAATATAATTTTATTACAGTAAAAACTTTCTTGTCATTTTTGCAAATCCACTAATTCACTACTTCAAAACCTTCAGAAATATCTTAAGCTCTGCAGCAATCACTGGATAAAACTGTACAAAACATACAAACTCTATGTAAAATGATTTAAAGTAGACAGATTTGAGTACTTCTTCCATCACGATTTATATCCCATCATAACCTGCACTGATATGTCAAACACACGTGGATAAGAAATTGGAGCTGCATTTGTCACTGTCACAATGCTTTACATGTTCAAAAAGGAGGATTTATGAATCATATTGTAAATCTGTCAAAATATCAAACACAATAAATCAAACTCTGTTCATGTTCAGATGAACTTTCAAAACATTTGCATCAGTTTCACTGTTTTTACTATGACACATGCAAAAGTCAGATAACACAGAAACAAGGGTCTGTGTGTGACCATCACTCATGCAACCGCTGCAGCTCTTTTGCCTACTGTGTTGCTGCTCTTTGTGCCTCTATAATCATCACACGCACACACACGCTTCTGCTATCAGCACTGTTAAGGAAAGAGGAAGTTCAGTGGGCGTTTATTCGTGTGTGTGTGCGTATGTGCGCATGTGTGGCACCAACTTCAAGAAGTAATCGTTGATTTCAGTGTAAACATCTCTACTTGTTTGTTTAAAACATGTTGATCCTGTACCTTTACACACCCTCCCTACCTCTCACACTCACTTCCTCACCTCTCTCTCCGCAGCCTGACTCTGCTGGCCTAGTGACCTCTCCTCCGCAGTTTCACCTGTCTGCATGTGAACCTGGTGCTGGGTTTAGGGAAGTTGGCGACTCATGTCAACGGCTACAACAGAGAGTAACGGAGAGAAGGCGTATGCAGACAAAAGCAACCGAGATAATGCATAATGTGTGTGTGCATGTGTGTGTGGTTGGGTGGTTGTTACAGTATGCACCAAATGATGATTTGTGGCTGGATTGCATGCACTGATTGGCTGGTAAAACAAGCAGAAGTACAACAATAATTTGAATATCTGTTCCACTGGCATCAAACTTGTGTAAGGACCCAACTGCAATGTGTTCGTTTTCAGCGGGCAGAGCAACCACAGGGAGAGCCCACAGGTGTGTGAGGTGCATTGTCTGCTGGTCATAGAATTTCAGAATACCCATTTGTCACAGAATCCCTCATAGATGGACTGTGAGACTGGTTGTTTGACAAGCAGGACGATGGGCACTAGAGTATGAGTGATCCAAAGGGATGCACATTGAATTATGAGCGAGATGTTAACATTCGGGACAGACAGTGCGTTTGGATGACTGCCTCAATAGTTGGCTAAAATACACGATTGTCTGCCTGGCCTGGTGACTGTGTGATTAACTGAATGAAATAGAAGGACGCTACATCAGAAAACTTGTAACAACAAAATATTTGCCTATTTTAGGTGAATTGCAGAGAACAGACGAAAGCGAGGCGGAGGAAACATTGTGTATGAATGGTGACACGTCAAACGATGGAAGGAAATACATGCAAACACACTTTCATTTGTATTTGACAGCCTAGGAACACATTTACTGCCCATTTTACTAACCAGCCATATGCAAACGAGCATCTCTGTCCCTCTCACACACACACACACAAACACACATGCAATCCACCAGGCGAGGTAGTGGGTCCAGTGTTTTGCAGCTTGCAAGCATAATGTTTTCCTGCTCTGATACAGATCTATACATGAACATACGCAAAACCTGTAACACAGCACAGCATGCAAAACACGCCAAAGGAAGTAACTGCTGCTAGCCCAGAGGCATACATACAAAAAAACTCGTAAAGACCACCTGCTGGCACATGACTCTATTTACAGAGTTTAAAGTTTCATCCATTTCAATCATGCTATACAGTACAAGGACGAAATGTGACCCAGAGCAAACGTTCATTCATTGATATTAATTATAACTTGTGATGCGTGAGCTCCATTCATCATCAAAAACAAACAACCTTTTCAGCATTTCCAAAAACCATGATCTATTAAAACGTTTTATATTGTGATATTTTCCATAATTTGTACAATAAACCTACAGAAGCTGGACACAAACACCTTATATAATCATAAAATCTCGTCCAGCAGCTACATAAATTCATTTCCATTAATTAACATCTCTAAAGCAGCCACAGTATAAATTGAATATCACCTTCACGAGCTAATGCTGCACGGCTGCTACATGGAGCTGCATGATACGAACGTATCATTCATTATAATATAACAGGAAAACTGACCCTGATATGAAATTATTATCAGGATTTGGTATTCTTGTTATTTTTTCCACATGCACCCTCTACATCATCATGTCAGCCTTAAATAAGAAACTGGGTTAAGGTGAATTTTGCCACTTCACATCAGATATCTTGGAATCATGGAAACATCTTATTCAAACACTCTAGTCTTATATGTTGGAGGTTTTTTAGATGCTTCACACACAAAACAGATATGGAAAACTTAACTCAATAAGAGTTCCCCGAAATCAGTGATGGAGTGAAATAAATCCTGCCTCGAAAACGTCAAAGTGCAAATTTAAGCACTGCAGACTGATTATTGGCTCCTGTGATAAATAACCGTCGCCAAACTACCTGTGCACACGCATGATGTATGGAGAAGTTTCATTTTTCTGCATCATCCTCCAAAATGAAAACATCTGGACTGAGATACCCAGCTGACTCACATGCGTCGCGCACCGATTCCTCCCCGAAAGAAATAACTTCAGGATATCTGCATGAAACGTGTCCCTGTGCTCCAGCGGATCAGATCGAGTCATGCAGACGAGTGGCACATACTCACCACGATCAGTTTCATGGCCGGGTTGGATCTCGCTATCCGAGCGTTCATCTCCTCCACTGCGTAAAAAGCGAACTGCGGTATGATGGGGTCTCTCTCCATCACAGATCTGTACTTATACAGCACAGAGGGAGAGAGAGAGGGAGAGAGAGAGAGCGAGTCTGTGCCCACCCACCTCGCAGTTATCCAGTCCACAGCCCACTTTCTGTCTGCCTCCCTCTGTCTCCCTCTCCATTCAAACCTGAACGTGTTGCATCCTCAGGAGTTGAATTGTGCCATTACGCACAGGACATGAGAGGTGACAAAAGCATCCACAAGCAGAGATCATCAAACATTGAATAATTACTTCTTTGAGCTTCTTAAAATTCTCCCTTATAAATATGAGGCACGTTGGAGGAGCCTACCCTTAATCGTAAATATAAAGTTTGAGCCTAAAACCTGAAATATTTCTGACTTCTGAGGGAACTATAAAGTTGTGAAAAACAGAATAATCCAGTGGTTAACTAAAAAAAATCTAAAGAAATTATTTCCATCTGTAAATTCTACAGTCCAAACAAGTGGTTTTTATACGACAACCAGTCGATGCACTCAGTGTGTCGAAGCAGCTTTAACAAGTGTGAATAAAGAAAAGTGTTCCAGCATAAATGTTATGACAGCGTGTAAATACAGTGATTGGCAGCTGTTTATTTGGAGCAGCCAGAGTCATTTAATAAGAAGAGTTCTGCTTCTTTGAACAGACCCTGAAGCAACTGGAACGTTGGTCTCATTGAGAAGTAATGCGTTATCCCTGAGATCTAAGAATCAAAGAGCAAAATGTTGTCCATTTCAAACCTCACAGCTTCTCCATGGTATCCTAAAAGGAAGCTGCATCCTTAAGATTATTGTGTATTATTGTGCTGATGTCATAATATATTTCAGTGTTTTCCACAAAGTGTTTGTTTTTTAGATTCGTTTTAAACTCCAGGTGTTTTTTACAATATTTCATAAAAACATCTAATTTCTTCCATGTGAATCTGTTTCTCTTGCTTCAAGCTATTGCAGGAACAAACCAACACAGTTATACACATATAAGCTTCCCCTTTTCCACTCTTCCCCAAAAAGTTTTTCACTACCATGTTGTACAATGGAGAATCGAATACGATTCACTACAATGTTTTACTTATTTTAAATCAGGCTCCAGAGATTTGAGACAACTCAAAGAATGAAACATGTTTAAGATTTTGAATGTTACTGCACTCAACAATCTCTAATGGCTGAATGTAGCATGTTGTCTTCAGCTAGTTAAATGTGACATCTTATTTGAGACATTTTATTACTTTTAATATAATGTCTTTATTTCTACACAGTATGGATAACATTAAGTTCTCCAGATCCATGGGGCAAAATATGCTTAATGAGGCAATACAAAGTCTTTGAGTTAAGATTTTTTTTTCCTGAGTCAAGAATGAACTTTTGTTCCTTGTTGTTTTTCATGGACTGACTCATTACCACAGGGACTTTAACGAAATAAATGCTCATTCTATGCAGTCATTTAATGTCAGTCTTCTTAACTGACAGGAGTGCAGTGTGTTCACTTTGGGTGTAAACAATTCAATCAAAAGAACCTTTTCCAATTTCTGTGAGATCACGTAATATTTACCAGTGATCAAACTTCAGTCTCTTCTCTCCAGCAATGTGTTTTTTATCTTAAACCTACAGCACGTCACTTTTGTCTCCCCCGTCTGGCAGCGGCAGTTATTACATAAACACTGGCAGCTTGTGATGTATGCTTCAAATGTCTTTGTCGTCAATCACTTTCTACTTTAGACTATTATCCTTCCTCTGAACGACTCAGATACTTTCCTTGGACATACAAGTTTTCCGCCATTCTCCTAGTTGCTGTAGCATAGTCTGTCTACATCGCATCCGTTGCCCCCCCCACCCTGTCACTCCCAGTGTTCCCAACGCTCCAGTTGCTTCAGCTCTCGTATGTAGTGCAACTGGTGCACAGCATGGTAATGTTGCCACAAACACCAGATTTTAAACCATGCTGTACTGCAAAATACAGAAACATGTATCTGGTAGTGATGGGCTAAGCATTGTGTGAACCTGTTTGGCAAAGGCTTGAAGAATGTTCATATAAATGTAAAAAACCTTCAGTTTTAGCTGGTGTGTGTTTAAAAGTGTTTATAAATATTATAAATAAGTTATGTACCAAAGGATTTAACAAGTATATTCATCAAGGTTTCAACCAGAAGATGAACTTGTACATAGAGGTCAGACTGTATAAGCAGACAGCTCATGTATTGACCCAAAGAGCTCACTCCTACACTGTGATGTAAACACATGATGCTGATACAAGGCCTCTGACATCAAAGCTCCTAAAAACAAATCTACGTTTCCGTTTGTATTTTTGTAGCTGCTCACCGTCACGTCCATTCAGAGGCACGACAAAATGTCACAGGCGGCTGACGTAGAAGCATGAGGTCCCAACGTAATCAGAGTAAATACACACTCACCCGCCTACAAGTCTCTGAGGCATACGAGGGAAATCTCAGTGGTGAGGTCGCAGCTGACCACAGGATGACTTAACACACAAACAGGCACGAATACAACAGAGAAAACATACACACACACACGCACACATCAGCATCAAGGTCAGGGTGAGCCGCAACAATAGCGGTATGGGAGCTGGACGCACACACATTAAAACACATCCACATCAAACCCTCCTGACGTGTTAGTTGGCGGTGAGGTCTCTATAGTGTGCGAGCAGGGTGAACGTGGGTGTTAGGAGGTGAACCAGCTGCAACTGCTGATGACCAATGAACACACACATGCATGGGCACAAGAGGGCATTTAAAGTTTATTGCTGACCTTCCTCATGTCCATAAATTGTTGGCTGGTTTTGACTTGTCAACAACTGCAGGACTTTCTAATTTTATCTTTCAAAATGTATTTTAGATTCTTCCCTCAGAATAAACACAATACCGTGCTGACTACATGGATTTCAACTGGTAACGGTTAAGTTCATTCAACCGTAAGCCTAAGTAAATCATTGATTTAAATTCAGCTGCAAAGATGACATTTAATTTTTGTGCTTTGTCCATCTTGTTTGCATAATGCAGGCAAATAGTGCGTCTCTTGCTATCATAGACAGGTATTATTCAGGTCCACCCAAGTCTCTCTCATTTCCATAACAGATCTCAAAAACGAATGAGTGGAAAAGGGAACTGGGAACTGTTGCTGTGTTGATGGTGATCACTTTTTGTGGTTAAATTTCAGAGCAAGAAAGAGACAAAGGACAAAGATTTTTCATTTGCTGCTCATTCTGTTGCCAAAGTTCCCTGAGAAAAGCATGTTTTGTATATGAGCAGATTAAATCAAGTGCTGTTAGATTAATGTGTGAAAATAATGAATTTATTGTCGCTGAACCACCTATGTCATGATTCTCCGTTGGTCTGGAGCCTGTGTTTTGTTGTGGACTTTTGATTGTTTTCTTTGTGGACTTCTTGCTTTGTGTTTTCGGACTCGGACCTTGTTGTTTTCCTTGTGTTTTGGTTCTTGGATTTACACCTTTGCACATTGAGTTCATTATTTCCCGTTTTATTCTGAAACTGTCCTCTTTCCTTGTGTGTCTCTCTCACTTTACTTCCTGTCTTTGTCTGGTTTCCCTCCTGTGATGATTACCTGAACCACCTGAATCAACTGCCCCTTGTTGACTTTGTGTATTTAGTTTGTTTCTCTTTGTCCAGTGACAGTTCATCTCCTCAGTTTGTCTGTGAGAGTTCAGTGGTTTTCATTGATAATCCCTCATATATTTAATCAGTCATGTTTCTTTGGCTGTACTTTAAACCTGGGTGATTTTGGATACTTCTACCAGATGTCACTGCCAACCTGTCTAACTACCTGTAAGTCAAATTCAACACATTGTTTGATCTGTCCTTGTCTGTCGTGTGTCATTTCAGTTTTCTGTATTACTCATGGTGATTGTAGAAGCATTTTGTCTTTGTTATAGTGTCTTAATTTGATCTGATTAGTTTGGTTTCACAAGGGAGTGGACTAAAAACTTTTGTATGAAACCCTTTCATCATTCTCCGTCTACCTATGATCGACGTTGATTGGTTTGTTGACAGGCATAAGTCTGATGTCTGCATGTTGTCAAGTTGGCTATTGTATTCGCACATTTTTTGTGTGCAAGGAAAAAAGTAGTCTTTCCCTATTAATGGCCACTGTAAAATGAATGTACATTTCGTTCAAACATTATATCATCGGAGGCCACAGGTTATCCTGCGAGCTGCTTCTGCTACTTTTTCCTCTTCTTCTATTGTTTAATGCTGTGTCAACATCTTGTAGTTGCTCCGAAAGTCCAAACTATCCAAAAAAAAGAAAAGAAGGCACCTTTCACACCTGTTAATTTGGTTCAGACTTAACTGAGGTCAGACCAAACAAGGTAGTTAGTCTACATAAATATAAAGTATTTAAATATAAAGGGTCTTTTCTGGGGTAAACAAAAAAACTACAAGTCATACAATTTAGATGAAATGAACTAGTGAAAACATCATGAGGATTATTCTACATTAAATTTCTGAAAATAGTTTCCTTTCACCTAAATCTTACACACTGGACCTTTAACAGAGAGGCAGGTTTATGATAACAGCTCTGTTTTGTGATCAGCTTTATTAAATGTTTAATGTTGCAAACTAGGAAACATACTTACATACTTTATGAATAGTTTTAAGGTCAGTTTAGTTCTACTGACGGTCCATGGGCTAAGGTGACCTTAGTGCAAGTTTTTGTTGAAACGCAGGCCGCACCACTTAATTTGATGTTGTTATAGAGACAGAAGAAGAAGCATGTTGCCTTGTTGAGGTTCTTGACCTTCTCATATTCTCCTCTCAGCCGTCCTGCGGTCCACCTCAGAGTTCTAGTTTCAGGATATTTTATATCTCTCACTGCCCAGGCCCCTTAGATGGAAATCACAGTGGACAAGTCTTTATTTTACTAGCTGATGAAAAAAGCCTCAACAGTGTTCTGAAATTATCGATGTGGGGCAAAGATACCTCGAGAAAATATGGACACATGGAGGAGGTGGG